GCGGACGCGCCCGAGCGCCCGGGCCTGCCTGCCGGCCGGACGCCAGCCAAAAGGGCCGGAGGACAACGGCAGGCCCCAGGATTTCCCCGGACTCCCCACAACCGCCCGAGAGGCTGGACGGAACTGCGGAGACCAAGGCACCTGCCGAACCTGCGAGGACGCGAGGGTCCCACTCCCTTACAGCGTCCCACACCGCGGGCCAGCAGAGGGCAGCAGAGCCAAGTCCGGGCATGTCCCCTCCAACCGCCGGCCCGACCGCCCCGCCCCCGGCTTCCTGCCACGACACGCCCACGTCACGCTCGCTCCGGGCCGACCGCGCCCGACTTCGCCACGCCTGGCTGTCGCGTCTCGGCGGCTCCGCCCCGCCTGGCTGCCACACCCCTCAGCTGTCCCGGCCCGTGTCTCACGCCTGAGTTCCCTCATTAGCTAGAACCCCAGACCCCTGGGTCCCATTAGGCTGAGGTCATCCAGGTGTGGAACCGATCATAATCATCAGTATATTCCAGGCTTTTTAGAATGTTTCCATTTAAAGTATCGGTTTAAATGATAAAAGCAATGATGCCTGTTGTGAAAAATATTACAAGCAATTCAGAAATGGATACGGCAGACGCGTACTTCAAAAATTAATAGCGATTTCTTGCTACATTTTAGTGGAGAAAAATGTTAGAGCCCTTTTTATTGTTTCATGTGTTCAAAAAGCATAGAAATTGTTTAGTAAACAGTTTACTGCCATAAGGAAGGAAAAAGTCCTATCACTTTAATCTTACTTGTTTTTAAATAGGTTTTTAGATTATGGTGTTAGATAGAAAACTGTATCGTCATCAAAATTGGGCTAATTAAACAAGCACTGGGAACATCCTATCACCTGGCAGAACGCATGGATTCTGGTGGTTTGAATGCCAACTTTGATGCTTACCATCTGTGAGACTTTAGGTGAATTACTTGAACCTCTGTTAGCTTCTCTCTCTTCAGCAAAGAAAATGGGGATATTATCTACTAGGTAGTGTAATTTTTCAGAATTAAATGATATCAACTATAGCACCTAGCACTGCAGGCAAGCAAATGAGAGGACACAATAAATGTTAGTTTCCTTCACGTAGGTGCAAGGCTTTATACTGGCGGGAGGGTCACAGTCTGAGGGAGACACACATGCCGGTAATTCCACACACAGGACTCAGCAAGCAGTGTGAGAGAAGCACAGAAAGCCCTCGAGGGCTTTCTTCATGTGTGACCTGGCATAAAGACATATATAACCGTGCTACTAAAGCTGAGTTATCAGCATACAACGTTTTTATTTTGGCAAGGCACTCAATTTGACCTTTTTTGGAAAGATAAGACATGTGAAATGATTTAAACAAGCAAGAAGTTTCTAAAACCTCGTTTCTATACCACAAGAAAAACACATTCCAGCAAACAGCTTGTGCACATATACTTTAATATTTAGACGGGTGAAATCATCTTAAATGACAGACATTAAACTAGGTGTGAGGAGACAACTCAACAATTGCACAATCCACAGAATTTTAACATCTAAATATATTCGTGTTTTAGGGTCCAAAAGTTCTCCTTAAGCTGAACTTTATCAACCAGGCAAGTATATTTAAGCTTTGAAATTTAAAAAATATTGGTATTTCTTAAAAGGCACGTTGAGGTTCTCTTAACATCAAAGACATAACATTTGTTTTATATTCCATGACCAGAACCTTTACACACCACCACCACCTTTGGCCACTCTGACCCTTAATGATGAGAACTCTGGACAATTGTCTTGTACTCTGGCCTGGGACCAAGGGCATAGCCGCCAAGGCCCTCGCAGGCTTGCTGACCTAATTGGACAGTTTGTTGAACAACAGGAAATGCAACCCGGCGTCTCTCCCCCCGGCATGTCAATGTCCTATGCAGTGCTAATCGCCAAATGCTGTTCAATTTAATCACGATATTTTAAATCAAAATTCGGTGTCCTTAGAAGGTACTCCCTCTAGATCAGAAAGCCTCCCTCTTCTTGGAACTTTAAAAACACAAAAGTTGCCATTGGAAAAAAACAAATGGGTTAAAAGGCAAAAATTTATCCTTTACATGTTGATTTGGCACGTCAACAAGTATTCAAAAATTGAGAGTGAATTCACTGGCGACAGCTGTCACAAAATTAACCACAACTGGTTTCAACTGTATCATAATTAAACTTCGCAAATTGGAGGCCTTGTCCACCTCGGCTGGGTTTCCACATCTCACCGCTGGCACCTGCTGTCAGAGTGACTACCACTGGGCACCAAAAGAAATCACCAGTCCCTCGCTGGGAGTTTTAAGTCATGGTGGCACTCTGTGGGTGACAATGGCCTGGACTTCTTGGGTAGAGATTAAATAATAAGAAAAGCATTTAACATTTTACAGCTAGAAAGCAGGTCCAGACAATGTCGGAAAGCCTATCTGAAGGCACAGGTAACTGGCAGGTAACTAATAAAACCGGGCATCCAGAAGTACAATTTAGAACAATTAAAAAGTATAAATATTTGTGAATTATTTTTTCTCCAGTGCTCTGGCTATGGCTGAAAAAACGCTGCAGTTTTCTGATGCTTAAGAAGACAGAGTCCTCTCAATCATCAAAAAGGTAATTGAAAAGGTCATTGTTGCCTGAAATTCTATAGAGTTGCCTGAAAATTGAAATAACTTAAGGCAGGATTTCTTAAAATGTTTAGGCAGTTTCAAACCTAAACCATGTGATAACATGCAGATACATAATTCCCGAACGTGAGCAAGTGAAGTACGCCAAGTGAGAAAAGAAGCTGCAGAGGGCTGTTTTGCTGGTTTAAAAGCTTAAAGCTGTCCCTCTTTCTCAGCTGTGATGTAGGAGACACAGGGCCGAACCAGGGCAGCCTGAACTCCTGGGATGGCTGTGTGATGACTGAAGAGGCATAAATTTCTTGCCTATTAATAGTTTCCCACCGTGAGAAGCCCAGAGGCTGGCAAACAGACGTGGTCTCAGGTTTTCCTCGAGCCAGGACAAGAATGCCTCCAGGGACCGCTAGGGGGTCACATCGTATATCCTGTTTACAGTGGGCACAAACACACAACACTGAATTTGTATTTTTAGCTTATTAAATCCAGAATGTTCCTGAGAAGGCATTCGCTAAGGGTAAACGGTCCCAGCATCATAATGATAATAAATTACACCTACATTTACAGAGACCCAATCAAGACACATGCAAAAGTCACTGGCCTTCCTAGCAAGAGAACGCAGGCCTTTCCCCCAAAAGACCCTGCTTGGGCTCTGTCCAGAGGGCCCAGCCCTTCATGCATCTACCCACCGGGCACCCTCCCCCAGCACGTGACACACTCGGCCTTCCGAGGCTACTTTTTCACCAAGTGACACACACACGTTCAAGTAAATGTCAGGATGGCCTCTGCCAGGGGGACCTTGCAGTGGGACGTGAGGTCAGAAGACTTAGGTTTGGGGGTGGAGTTTAGGGAAAAGCAACCACCTATTCTGCGAGAGCCCAGCTAGGAAGTGACGGTGGGTGTGGCTCGGGGGCAGAGGCGCCAGGTCCCTGGGCCCGCGACTCAGATGAAGTGGATCCAGCTCTCCTCGCATTCTCCGCGGGGCATGTGCAGTGCGTGCTTGCGGCACGTGAGGCTGTAGTCGCGGCCGTCGTTGTTGTCCCAGTACTCGGAGCCCGCCACCCGGTAGCGCAGGGCGAAGTGCACGCGGGAGCCGAGGGCCAGCAGGAAGGGCGGCACTGGGAAGCCAAAGGCGAAGACGTCCTCGGTGCCCCCGGACCCTGCCGGTCCCCGCCACCTCGCCACTGCCTCGTGGGCGCTGCGCCAGTCGGAGAAAGTGTAGCGCACAGTCACCTGCTTCTCGAAGGCCACGTTGCACACGCGCACCGTGCCGCTGACGCCCAGGTCGGAGCAGGTGACGCGCTCCAGGCACACGAGCTGCCGCCCCAGGCGCTCGCCGAAGTCGGCGGCCTGGATGGGCGGCAGGAAGTCGGGCACCAGGCACTGCAGGGTGAATTCCAGGTCCGGGCTGCTGCAGCATAGGTCTGAGTTGATGGCCAGGCGCGACAGCACGTGCAGCGGCACCGACGGGTCGTCGCCCGCGTTGAACACTTTGACCTGTGCCAGCTCCAGGCCCAGCGCGTCGGCGAAGCGC